CCCCACACCGATTGCCTGGCGTGTCGGCCGATTAAAAGTACTGGAACGGCCTTCAATGCAAATTTACTGTGAAATAAACAAACCCTCAGAGCGAACGCATAAGCGATGGCCGATATCGCAGTGGCAATGGTTTCAATGCAATATAGCCATCAATAACCTAAACCTTGCTTTTAGATCATCAATGACGGTAAAATTGTTCGAATCACAATGGGACGCTAAATTGGCCAAAAGAGAACGCCCAAGGTCGGCACGTAGAGATCTCATAGCCTTACAGTGAGTGTCTACGTCAACATGGTTGTGGATACTGCTCATGTTGAAGTACCAAACCTCGATAAATCCTCTCGCGCGTTCTGTGTTGGACACAGCAACGACTTCAGTTCTGCCCCAATTCAGTCGGTGGTCATACTCGAGTTCATGAGCAAGAACCAGGGACAGTTAGTCGAGTCAACAGTGAGCTATCTACTCTGTGTTTGTCGGTTCGGATGCCCAGGCGTCGACCTGCATGGACAACATGGACGCTGGAGCGATTAGTGTATGGTCTGTTGCTCTTGAGGGATGGGATCCGTTCTTCGAGATAATGCTGAGATAGGTAGGGATTCTGGCTTCTGGATAGTGCGGTTATAAAACCGATTTAGGCGCTTGCAGAACGACTCAGAGGTTACCTGTATATAGGGCGCGAAGTAGATTTTATGCGTCACACTTTCTTCCTTGGAGTTTGAGTGGCCCTGTGGTTAGGGCGTCAAACTTCTAACGAAAAGGTCGAGGGATGGGGCCTCAGGATACGAAGCGCTGACGACGGCCAATAAGCCAGAAATAACAATTCCAACCTCCCTCGTTTTTTCCGGTAAAGCGATTTTGCAAATAAGTGTACTTAACCGTGCCAAATTTTATCCTTATTGACGTTTCTGGAACTTTCATATTTCCATCATCTCATTAGGGTGGTTTCTGTTTCCACCGGCCTTTAATTACTTAGTCCCGTCGTCCGCCTCATATTATTGCCGTGCTCAAGGTACGAAATTTGAGATGCCTGTTTGACGTTGACTAGCTTTGGCCTCTCTGAGGTTGACCGCCCTCTCTTCTTCTGGTTTATCTTCGGGAGATAACGAACGCGATTAGATATCTGAACCTCTAATTTTCACGTATATTGCTCTATCCTCTAGGAGCGCTGCCCCCCACTCAGCATGCAACTAGGCGAACTTTGCGAAGCGAGTCATTCATCGGCGCTCGGTTTAAATTTCTGTACCGGTGCCCAAACGAAAAAGTCCTATTAAATTGTCTCAGCTATAGGCTGCATGGGAACACGAAACGGTGTCAACAGACGCTAGCAGATTTCGTGAAGAGTATGATCAGGGTGCTGATGCTAGGCTGTCACATTCACATTCACATATACCACCGAATGATTCAACAGCACTCGCCAACATGTCAGTTGATTGTTACGGCGCACGTGCTGAAAACCCCCGAAGCGACAATCCTTGACGGCAATAAACGTAATGACCAACTGTTCGAGAAAATTATAGAAGTTAGTCCGCCAAAACTGCATTGTCTGATGGGGTTCAAGTACACAGCCTGTACTCCGGTGGTCTCTCTTTAAAAAATGCCGGTTCTGTGTTATGGCTCAAGGTTTGACAGAAAAAATGCTCGATTAGAAGAAACGGGATTGCATTCACCGGACCCCCCTAGTGTTCGACTTTTGTCCCACATTTTCTGGGATTAAAAACCGTTCCGAAAACATAAATGACCGCGCAAATTTAGTTCTGGGCATCATACAATATGTTTACGTGATTTAGCTTTGTCATTCATTACCCATTAATAAGTCGTTTCACTACATTGTACAGAATACAGGTTAAACTATAAAGAGGGTAGTTTTCCGACTGCAGCCTAGACCGAAATTTATAGATCGGAAAAATGAAGACCGTTGTTCCTCTCTTCAGCATTTAGTCTTCTTCCATGGATTCTCGAAATCTCATAAATAGAGGCTTGCGCAATAACTCGCAAATTCTCGAAGGGCAAATAGATGCATCCGATCTGGACCAGGCGACTTGCAGGACTCAGTCGGAATAATTCTGCCTTTATCAACTCAGGCAAGAAATAAAATCATCTTCTAGAGGAAACAATGTGGAATTTGGTCGTTGCTGTGGGCGGGCAAGGAGAGTAGGATTTGGTTCATGAGTGAATGTTAACTGAAGGAAACTAGATTGGACTGATGCTTTCGTTTGGTTCTCTGTTTCTAATGCTTCGTATTATAACCTTTGTGTGGAAATCGTACACGATTTGCCTTTTTATTGCATATTAAACCATATATGGGCTGAACGAATAATTCTTGTGACGTCTATCTGTCTCAGACTCACAGACATTCCTTCGTCGCTTATGCTCTCACAAACGTACACTGCTCCCAGTTGTCCAAAGCGTCTTCACTTCTCGTTCCGCCTTCTGAAGATTCTTTAAAATTTCCGACTTATGTGCGCTGCAATTTTGGTTGTCTTTGTTCATACGGGTGAGCATTACCGATCAGTAATTATTTTGATGAATGTATTCCGGTCTATGTTAACTGTTCCCTGCAGTGTGGTTTTCCGCGGTGTTGCTGCGACGTGACCTGCATACTGCCGCTGTCCGTTTCAGATTCTTGATTCTCACTCGGTAGATGATTTGGACCGTGAGGAAATGGAATATTAGATGAATATTGCAGCATAGTCTCCAGAACCTATTGACGGCCATCCTTAATTAGACTGGAGACAAGGTCTAGACATTTCGGCAGTTTACGCCTGGCTCAATCATACCGATAGCTTTACAATTTCCAGATTGTATTGGTATTTTGGACTTGAATTGGGAGCTCGAGCGCGAAAGCCCATTTCGTTAAAAAGTTGGCTTAGATTGCCCGATTGCTGAGTTGGGAGGAGTAGTTGACTGAGTATGGTAGACGTAATCGAAACAGTCCTACGTTGCTAATTTAGATAGGGAGCGTCGAAGTTTTCAACTATAAGACCATTCTTATTTGATCAGATTTTGTTCACATTCGTCAAGAGAAGGGCATTACTTTGGGCGGTCTGATGTCTAGAACGGAATGTGACAGCAAATGCTAAATGCCGTTATGTACCTCCGATATCTAAAGGTAAAACTTCCACCTCCATTCTCGAGGCTACGGTTATACGAACGTTAAAGTTGGCAGCGATGCCTCGTTTTCGGCATTCTTGTTGAATGTTGGAGTCACTTTGTTTCGATTTCCTTGTTCTCGTTTGCCTTGCCCTACCGCAGGTTTCTACCGTGTTTACTGAGGACTTGGATTATCCTTCCCATAAGTCTCAACCGGTCGAGTTGTTGCTCTTGTCATGGAGTTTCAGAACTTGCGGATTCGCGAATATAGTTGCACCAAAAGTATTCAAAGCCCTGGTGAAGTATGCTGCTGTTTGCTTTAGTGGGAGCCTTGGAGCATGTTCTCCCGACATATTGAAAATTATAGAACAAGTATTATCTCCACAGTGCGAAATTTACATACAGCTCTAAAAAAGGTACTTTAAAGTTGTATTTATTCAGTATATTCAAATACCACTTCTCACACCTCATTTGCCCCCTAAAGTATATTTTGCAACTGAAGTGTTTTAATGCTTCACTTTTCTGCGCAGTCTCTTTCGGGTTCGCGACTATCTGCTGCTGATGTCTCTGTGCCGGGGTATCCTCGTCTCAGGCAAATTCCTCAGAGGGAGCCTCCTGCCGTTGGCTTACTCACAATGCTTAAGGAGTATTGCTTCTTTACACAGTTCCCCGATTCCATTACAAAAACCGTAAGTCAGAACTTGGACTCTTATGGTTCTAGTTTTCTTCAAGTCAAGCGACGAAACGTCCTCTTGATCAGCAAATTCTCGTGTAAGCACCTTTTTTCTGTCGAGTTTTTAAGCGATGCCTCCCCATGTTATTGTAAAACTGCCCAACCTTTCGCCTACCATGGAGACGGGAACTGTTGTTAGCTGGGCAAAGAACGAAGGCGACCAGGTAAGCATGGTTTACTGAGTTTCATAGCTCTTAGGTTGGCGAGGGTGACCTGCTCGCCGAAATCGAAACTGATAAAGCGACCATGTCTCTAGATGCGAACGATGAA